CCCTCTCAGTTGGACTTTTGCTGCAGCTTCGATTTTACTGCGCTCTCCTCCGAGCACGCAGCCTGACCTCAGTCCTTGGCATCTCTCAGAGCCCAGGAGCGGGCTGGGTACCACCAGCTGGTGTTCCTGAGCTTCCTCGCTCCTGCTGGCCCGTCTCTCCCAGTGCAAGATGAGCCCAGCCCTGGGAGGTCCAGAGTTCATCCCTGGCCCTGTGGCAGCATGTGACATCTCCACTTCAGCGAGGTCCGCTGTGTCCCCCATAAGCTGTTTGCAGTGGGTTGCTCTTCAGCTGCGTACTGCTGCATCTCTGTCGTCCAGGCTTGTACCTCTGGGAGCTGAGGACTTCTGTTGGGGGCAGAAGCTGCTATTTCTGAAGTGCCTGGTACGCTTTGTCAGCTGTGGGATTGGCATCAGTCCCCAAACTCCTGGTGCCTGCTGCTCTTGGAAAACTCCTGCTGTGAAGAGAGAGGAAATCAGTGTGTGTGTGTTTGCATGTGTGCATGTGCGTGTAAGAAGCATGAATCTATGTACAGATTTTAGTTTAAATGCTTGGACCCTTTCAGGGCTGAGGGCAGAGCGGCTCTGGAAGGCTCTGGTGAAGCCATGCCCAGCTTGGGGCACAGCTCAGGTCCTCTCAAGTGCAGCTCCAGGAGAGCTGCCTCATGGGGCCAGTGCCTGGGCTGGAAGGGAAGAAACCGCTGCCCACAGCCTGCTGGCAATCTGACGGCATGCTGCTTCCTGTCACAGGCATCTGCCTCAGTGTCCCTGGGGCCGGTCAGATTCCTCCACAGTTTTCGTGATCTGCCTCGTATCATGTCTGCCATCTCTTTGTTTTTCCCACAGCCTATGCAATAAATGTAAGATCTTGATTTATTTTTTTGTGTGCTCACTCTGATAATACAAGTTGCAATAAAAAGGAATTGTTTGTCTTATCTGACTTGGGAGTGGTGTCTGAGAAGCAATGACCCGCAGAGGGGGCAGGTACTGTTCCCATGCCTGCTATCTCGCACACTTTCATCTGCCCTGACTGCGGTAACTCAGGGGAGAGCTCTTGGGTGCTGCTGCAGCAGCAGTACCATGATTTGGGGAGGGCTGGGAAGGGGGGGGGAGGGATGCAGCCTGTGCGAATACCTGGAGAGACAACTGAGGTGTGCTAGGAGTGAGATCATTACCCACTAAGTCATCGAGAGAGCAAGGCAGGGTGTAACCTGAAACTGGGTTCCAGCTGGTCAGACTGGTTTGGGTTTTGGGTCTGAAACTAAAAGCAGACACCATTCTTCAAACAGGAGTTGCTCTGGCTGTGTCTCCAAGCCGGTGATCGCTAATCGGCAATGTATATGTATGGGAACCATGCAAACCCGCCCCTGCCTTGCTGACCTGGCAGCACTGGGCCTCCAAACGCTGCTCCACAGCGGGAAGGCTTCATTCCCTGTGCTCTGCTCTGGACCATGGGGTTTGCTTTGTCACTACCACCTCTCTTTTCCTCCACTTCTCACCCACACCAGTTCTCCTGGCCATTTCCAGCTACTTGCACCTACAGTATTCCCCAGGTCCCCTGAAGAGCTGCCCCAGGAACAGCTGAGCCGTGCTGTGCTTGGACAATGGGGTCACCAGTCCTGGCACAGTGCAAGTAGCTGCTGGTGTGAGAGTGCTGCCAAGGCTGCTTCTCTTGATAGTCTCCGAAGAGAGGCGGCTACGTATATTACCGTTTCTCTCGCTTAAAGCATATCTCTCTGTCTCCTAGTGGAGTCTGCAGGTCCGGCCAGAGCCCTCCCCTTTGCTTTGCAACTTGCAAAGCACTTTCTCCTTCTGCCCCAAAAAACAGAGGGCATTGAGAAGGGGCGTAGGGGCAGGCGAAGGGGCCAGATCCCGCTCCCTCTTGGCACCTTTTGCTGCAAGAGGACCAGCTGCTGCTGGTGCTCCTGGGCGCGGGGTGGGGGGGGACGACCCGGAGGGCCATGAGCAGTGCCACCATTTCGGTACAGCGGGACCCAGCGAAGCTCAGAAACAGCAGGCAGCGGTGCCGCGCCGCACGCCCCACACCGGGCGTCTGCATTCCCCCGCTTTTGCCGTGCGGGGTCACTCCGGCTGCACCGGCAGCTCCGGCTGGGGCGG